AGCGCAACAAACGGCGCGTAACATCGAGGGTTGTAGCAGGTAAGCCTCGATAGAAACCAAGAAAAGGACCTCTAGTTGACTGACGCGTTTCAGAGGAAAGGTAGCACTCCGTAGGGAAACACAAAATAATCGGTTTATCATCCACCCGACCAAGATGCAGATGGCGAAAATGGTACAGCTACAGATATATGGACACGAATAAAATGAGCTCATAGACAATGCAATTATCTAGGATGGATGTTGAGACGTCCTGCCTCTTTGAACATCTTCGGGTATATCAGCCTGGTGCTGCTCTGGCACCACCGCCACCACTAATCGCTTGTCAGGTTTTCATCGTCCATGATTCATACCCTGTGGATTGAAGCTTAACCTGATACAGCTTGTTCATTGAGGATCATAATTCGAGAACAGGTGTACATACTTGGCTCTGTATGCATGAAGACTATCGTCCTCTTGAATAAATATTAGCAAATATCTCAAGCACTCATGTCGGGGATTGATTTACCTTCTTGGAGTGGATCTTCCATGTGCTGGCGCATTCTCTGGTGCCAATTACAGGTGGCGGGACGGTTGACCGCGGGTGGTGACACCGTGATCGCTGTTGGGCCTATCATTATCGTAAATGTGGTCACAGGAGATATAATTGCTCACAGCCTTCGTTACGTGCATGCTGCCGCTGAGAATTTGCTAACGACAGGTCAGCTTCTAAACATCGTGTTACAGACCGGCCGCATAAGTCACCTTACCTTGGAGTCCTGACATGTTCGTGCGACAGATAATATCTTGTTATACAAGAGAGAAGAGAGGGGATAGAGCGTTGTTGCCTTTTGGTTGGGTCAAGATGGGGTTTTTATGAAGGCGAGGCGGAACACGACAAACCGATGGACTATTTATTCCGTTCTGCTATAAATTGCTTATCTCCATTCTTTCGTCCAGCGTTTGAGGGCACCGAAAGTATCGCGCGGCGAGATCATTTGACCACGAGTGCTCCGCAATGGCCATCGTCCTCTGACATCGTCCTGATGAGAAGGCTGGACAACGGACGAATGGATACAGTTACAGTGCTGCCTGCAGTCTCCTCTCGGGAGTAGTTTGTTGTATCGCTCGACCATGAAAACCCTGGTGTGCAATGAGGCATGGTGGGCTGTCTCCCATTCTCGTTAGTCCTTCCCCTGACCGCCCCTCATCTTTCCCACGTAATGTAACGGGCAGCATGTTGGGTGGATCCATTGAGGCTGCAGAAACATTGACTGATGTAGTGACCGGCAGAGTTGCGGATAGCAGAGAGGGGATAGTAACTGTATTTAACGTGCGGCCGAAAAGGATTTGGATTAGGCTCCGTAATGAATAAACAGTTGCTCTTTGATCCCCGACGACATAATCCGGGGGGCACTTTACGTGAAGAGGCAGCAAGTGCGCAGCTTGTAGGCGCCATGGTTGGCGTCAAACAAAGATTGGGCTTGCAAGATCTTTAGGGTACCCACGATTATTCTGGTACGAATTTTTTTCGTGATTCTGTGGATTCGCATTTGAAATGTCATCGGACATAATTACGGGGACATCTCTGGGTGGCTAGTCCAGAATTCTATATACCACACTATCATCGACGATAAAGAGCACTTGGGACCAGAGAGGGCATGCCTACTTTCCTTCCTGAACGATTTTCCGTCACCGTCCAAAATCTGAGCGGGTCTATTATGATGGCATCCAGGTCTGAGCAAGCTGACTGGGCTCTAATTGATCTAAAAAGGACAATTTCATATAACAGAAAGGAGACTATTTCTATGGAAGACTTATGACCAATCAACGTTGAGCGAGAGTATTGGCCGTATATCCACAGTCCTGTCCCCCCCCTGCGACAGTTGAAACACATCGAAAATATAGATCCTAGGGGGGGGGGTCAATATACTCAAACATGCCTCCATAACGCAATGGTATTGGGTTATGTAGCCTCGACGCGGGTGGAGAAGATGTTCTTACAGAAGCGTGTTGATACGTGGTGCTTCCGTTCGTTGGGGCCCAGGTTTCCAGTTATACTTTCGACGGGGACCGTTCATCTGAGGAGGGTCGAGTCGAGATAAAGAAATGAATAATTGACAACGAAGGCGTGGGTTATGTGAGGCTTGCCAGGGCGACAGTCCGGTGATGTCGTCTTGTCTAAAACGGTACTGGTGCTGGTTTCGCTTGTAGGCATATATTGCTGCAGCGCCACATCGGAACAACCTCAAATTAAAAAAGGTAAAGGGTTATTTTCAGCCGTTACACCGCCGTTATCGGGTCTGGGTCGTATATTCCAGGAACCAAGGGCGCCAGTGTTGTCGACGGTTTGTTGGACAGAGGGTACCAGTCAGTACAGCGAAAGTCACCCACGACGACGATCCTAGGGGCAGGTGACTGAGTACCAGGAATCCAATCTCGAGCAGCCCTTTTGTCTCTGGGTGGTGCCTCGAGGACGTTTCGAAGAATGAGTGGGCAGGGGTGTAACCCTGATCAGACCGAGGACATTTCAAATGCGAATCCACAGAATCACGAAAAAAATTCGTACCAGAATAAT